AGTCGCTCGTTGAGATTTTATTTTATTGTTTTAATTAACAAAACTTCTGACCCACAACATTGATTTTATTTCTTGTTTTGACGTTGAAGAAAATACAAAAGTAGACAATATTTTATGCAAGTAAAGCTGATTTTAATTTAAAGAAAAACTGCATTCTTTATACTTTACCCTTCAAGCATCCATGTTTTTAATACATTTTTACCATCATTAACTGTTGCTAAGTTCCCTTTATAAGGAATTATCATTATTACATATTAATTTATTCAAGCTGAGAATTCTAGTTCTACATACCATGTCTAATGGATGTCCGTTATCAGTTATCTCCTGTGCCATGTGTCCTTGAGGACACATGGCACAGTGGATAAAGGCATTAGTTAGATCCAGTGACAGGACCCAAAGAGTGTGAGTTCAATACCTGTTTAAGGCAGTGGAGAACTTGGAGATGGGAATCAACAGGAGATAATTGACATCCATTAAACATGGCACATGGAACTAGAACAGTCTACCCCAGTGAGCGAAATAAAGAGTTCAGTTCATCATTCCAAGCACCTGAAGAAGGCTGGAGCATACAATGGCTGAAACGTTGTAATAAACATGGTGACAAAGATGAGGACAATAGTCTGAATAATGTAAATAGTCATTAGGATTGCATTTAAATTTTTGAGGATTGTAGGTGGCAGGAAAGTAAGAAACCAGAAAAGAGTTCCACAGGTGAGAACTGAAAGAAAAAGAAACTATTAGAATACAACTTAGAGTTACTAGCTAACTAGTTCAACCGTAAAACAATGTGACCCAGTTGCCAATCTAGTAGCACAATTAAATTCATAGAGTGGAGACACTGAGGCGAAAAGAACAGTTGTCATGAAAATATTTGTAGAAAAGATTGAGGGAAGCCACATATTGGTGAGAAAGTAACTGAAATCATGATGCCAGGTGAGGATCAATTACATTAGAGACCCTTCTTTGAATTTTATCAAGAATCTTGAAATGTATTGTAGAAGCACCAGACCAGACATGGCAGCAATAATTAATTACAAAGAATTAACTAATATGAGATTATCCTTTAGTATAGGCAGCAGAATCAGAACAACTGACACCAACTGAGTAGCATTTTAAACCGGGGAAGGTTTAGAGAAGGTTTTTACTTTTCTTATTGCTGCCCACTGACTTTACCATTACTCCATTAATTCCGCACATTAAACATTTTCTGTCAAAGAAAAATATTTCTGGCAGGTAGAAAAAATAGTTCTTTTTTTTTTCTTTTTTTTTAATAAGAATAGAATTTCACTATTTTTTCACCTACTTTTTATTTTAGGAGGTTTTGACACTAAATTAGTATGTGTTACATTGAAAGTCACAAATTATTGCAGACATCGCTGTAGCAAGAACAGGGATTTTATATGTATAATGTAAATGCATTGCTAATGATATTGCTGTAGAAGTGCATTGAAAAGTGAAATTATCATTGGTTAGAAATTAATGCAAATATGATTGACAAAATAGCATCACACACATACATATATATATATATATGGGTGCATGGCCAAGTGGTTAAAGCGCTCACTTTCTGACCATGAGACCCAGGTTCAAATCTCACCATGGTTGATTTGTCTGGAAAGAGTCTTCCTGATGTTATCGGTCTGGAAAGTGCTTGAAAACCATACCACAAGTTGACCCAAGCCTTGTGAAATTGGGTAGATGAAACACTTATGGCCATTGATAGCTGTGCTAGACAAAGTCACAATTCATCTTGACCGAGGTTTTGAGTGGCTGGTGTTGTTCAGATTGTTGATCATTCTAGAAAACATGCTCTCTCCCAGAAACTGTAACTAAGGTCTGCTAGCCGCCCTAGTAGACAGATATCCTTGCATATGAGTGGCCACCTATTATTATTATTATTATTATTATTATTATTATTATTATTATATAAGAAACATCATAAAGAAACATACAATTCCAGTCAACAGAAACAAGAAAAAATAAATAAAAAAATAAGAGAAAAAAAACCCCACTAACCTCATTGTCAAGAATAATGACTCACCTGTAAGCTCCAAATTACAGAGAACCAATATTATTTATGAATTCATATATCCCTTAACAAGCTGTGTTCCTGACCAATTTGAATTAATAAATAATTATATTGGATATGCTATATGCCTAACAAGAAGACTCCTGTTACATCTCTCTAACCATAGCTCAATTTGGTCTCATTTAAATACACATAGAGATCTACCAAACTCCATCTACAATGTTCTCATTGATAATTCAAATATAATAGCCTCATCCACATGTTAAAAAAGGCTAAAAATGATGGAAGAATTATTAACAAATAAGAGAAAGCCAACACTCAATATCATTAACTATGAACCCGGCCACAACGTGCTGGCTGTGTTTGGAAAATAAACATTCCTATAACACTAGATAAATACATAAAATAATCTATGCATTCAATTAGAAATGAAAATAAAATTAACCTTGATAATAGTTAAAAGTATAGCCCAAAGCACTTGGGCATACAAAACATTCAGACAATTTCTACATAATTTATGTCCAAAAAAGAATAAAATTATAAGAACACAAGAAAAATTACATAAAAAACTTAACCACAGTACCTTGTCAGTCATTTGAAACTTTATATATATATATATATATATATATATATATATTGTCTGGATGATTGGATTTCTCTGTATCCTTGATAACAGTAAATTATGAATTTCCCTTGCAGTTAAAACTCAGTAAATTTAAAAAAAAAAAAAAATTTTTTTAAATAAGTTACTCCAAAATTTGCTTGAGAATGAAACGGAACTAATGTTTTTAATTTAATTACAAAATTAAATTTAAAGTTTTTAGCTTCCATTTTTGAAACATGGTTATTACTATGTAGTGAAAAAACCATATTTTAAATCAGTTAATTTATAATATTAATGCTCTCTAAATTTACATTGAGCACTATTTTGTAAAAAATAAAAATATCAATAAGAACACCAGATTACATATCTTACTGTTCTTTCTTTTTATTTAACTATACCTACATATATATATATATATATATATATATATATATAATGAGAAAGAGTATTTAACCTTGCTGTCAAAATAATTATGGTAACATAAGTGTATTTGTTGGATTTTTATCAATACAATTAAGCCTGATTTTGAAATAATTAAAAGTAAAAATATCCAAAGAACACTAACATGAAAGAAGAGAAATAAAAAGCAATGTATTAGCAGCCTGATCTTCCTTATTTACTAATGGGATAATTTTGTCTGATTTTTTGAGATGAGAGATTATGTAATTATAATAAACTGATTTACTAATGTCCTCATCTTTGTAGTTCTAATCATATTTTAGCTACTGTATCCTCTTGTTTTCTTGAGGTGTTTTTTTTTTACAGTTGGTAATCCTGATTGTAATTTTGAACCAAACACTTTATTCAATCCACAGAGGTAGATTGTTCTCATTCTGCTGTCAATATCAGTGCATATATAGTTTCATTTTATTCTAGTCCAGTAGAAGAGACAAACAATATCACAAAAATGAATTAACAAGATCGAATTATAAAATACAGGATATCCATTAATAAACAACAGAATGAAAACAATCTACTCCCTTGAATTGAATAAAGTGTTTGAGTGAAAGTTTTCTAAGCCAGATTTGACAACCGCTGAAACATTGTGATGGTAACAACCAGGATGAGGACACTTCTCCAATTAAATCAAACAAAATATCTGTTGTTATGTTAACATATGACTTGTTTGCTTATTGGTATTGAGTAATGTCTCTTGTTACCATAACAACGAAATATCCCATTGCTAAGAAGAAGAGATAGAATTTATAGTAATAAGAAATATTGCTGTATTTAAAAAAGGCCATTAATTCCTTAAATTACTTTTTTTAAATTTTGAGTACAAAAATTTATGTCTGAAAAGATGTGTATTTCTTAAAGAGGGTAACTGTCTTACTTTACTGTAAGGCCCTCTGTGACTGAAAGGGTAATGGAACATCTAGTTAAATGGTTGTTTTTGACAAAATAAAGGAAATGAAGGTTTAATTCCTGCTAAGGGTTATATTTTTATGCATGACACTTTTGATGATATAGGCCAATAGACCTTAATTTCACTATTTGTAAATCAACAAGAAAGTCTACTCGAACCTGAGTAACCACGAAAATAACATACAAATAAGAAATATTGTTAGGTACAAAAATATAATTTGTCAGATACAGTCACCCAAAAGTCTTGACATGATTTCTTCAAAAAGGGTCATTGAGTTTTGTCTGTCTGTAAGGATCTCTGTGGCCAAAATGCTAATGGCAAGACTAGCTAAAAAGGTGGCTTTCCAGAAAAACAAAGAATGCAATTTCTGCTGATAGAAACATTTTCATTAATAAGACTTCCAATGATCTAAGCTGGTAGACATTAATTTCACTGTTTGTAAATAAAAAAGAATTTCTACTCAAACTTGTATACCCACCAAAATAATATTTATAGTAATATAACATATTGTTGAATTGAAATTTTTAAAAAATTAGTAATTACTATTATAGATTATGTAAATATTTATATAATCTGATTATTACCAAGTTTTAGTAAGCGTTTTGTATATATATATTAGTCATTAACCATTTACCTGTATACTCAAGCTTTTAGTTCAGTATCGTTCTGTTATTTAGAAAGAAAATGTGTCTGCTTCAGAATATTTGCTTCTTGGCAAAATTTAACATTGCAATCCAGGGAATCAACATCTTGTACTGATTTGAACCAAAGTTCTTTTCTCATCTGCACACTGCAGAATCTTCCCTGTATATGTTTATGCCTAAATGAGAATGAATGTTACTTGAAGGACTTAATCCCTCGTCTGAAAGATCCCAGACTGAACTGGCACATAATTAGGGTTTTGTGGAGTAAAGCATGTGTCACAATCCAGTGCCTCCTGCTGCCGCTGCTGCTGCTTCTTTTTTTCTGTCTCTTCTCTCATCACCCCTTACTCTTCTGGAATGTCAACCATTGCAGATCCGAGGATGGATTATAGAATCAGTTTAGGACATGCTTCATTCTTCTTGGGAATCTTTTTCAACATCATTCCTCCTTCTCCAGCTCTCCTGCTGGCTTCTTGGAATTTTATTCCAGGTTTTTGTCTGATATGTTTGCTTTATTTTTATATGTTTTCAATCTATCTTTCTATCTCATTTGATAGGGATATAATTTCTTTTCCTCTTTTCATTATTCTTTGTGTTACTTTTTCAGTCAACCTCTTTACTTTTTTTAACATTTTTTCCTCTTCTTCATTTTTGTTCTTTTTATTAATTTTATTTACTTTTCTTTCTATAGTTATTTTTTTTTTTTACCTTTATTTTTTATTTCTTTTTTTATTGTCTTTTTCATTTTCATTTTCTTTTCTTCTATTGTCTTTTTCATTTTCATTTTCTTTTCTTCTATTGTTTTTTTCTTCATTTTCTTTTTTCTATTGTCTTTTTATTCATTTTTCTTTGCTTTCTTTCTCAAGTTTTTCTTCATTTTGCTTTTATTTTCTTTCTCAAGTTTTTCTTCATTTTTTTTCTTTTTCTATTTCTTCTTCACTTTCTTTTTATGTTCTTTCTTGAGTCTTTATCTTCATTTTCTTTTCTTTTTCAAAACTTTTTCATTTTCTTTTTTTCTTCTTTGATGTTTCTTCAATTGCATTAAATTCTTCTTTTACTTCTTCATTTTTTTCCTCCATCCTATTTTCTATTCTTCTCAAATGTTTCTTTCAATTTGTTCTTTTTATTACCTTCCATCTTCTTCCTCATTCTTCCTTCTACTTCCATTTTTGCTTTTCTTCTTTCTTTTTCTCCTCTTCTTCCTTCCATTTCTTATACTTCTTTTTATTTCACCTTTTCATTATTTTCAATTTTTTCATTTTATTTCGTTTTTGTTTAATTAACTTTTTCTTTACCCTTCCTATAAAACACCAACTATTTTTGTTTGATATTTTAACTTAACATTCATTTATTTTTCTATGATCTTTTGTTTTTAGGTGCAATTTCTTCTTTCTTAAATCCACCAACCCTTCAACCCGACTGAATGACTGCATTGATAACAACACTTGCTAAATAAGCCCTGTCCCGTATTAGTCATAAGCCAGCCATATTCTTCAAGAATGCCCACATAAAAAACCTAAAGTGAGAAATTTCATCTATTATTCTGGAACTGTGTAAAGATTTATTATTATCCGTTTTATTTTTGCAAGTAAGCATCTGTTTGGAGAAAGGACACAGTCACTGTGACTTTTTTTAGTGTTAAATTTCATCCAATACAATGACTGAGAGCCATTCAAGGTAGAGTGTGTTGTTTCTTGTGTTTTCAAAATAATAGAGGGAAATAGATAAGGAAGACAAATTTGTAAGTAAATGTTGAAATAGAAGGCACACTTAGCAACTGATCTAATACTAACTCTCCTCAACTCCACGATTCCATTCATTTATGTCCTATATGACAGAGGGTTACTGCTAAAATGGTTATGATGAATGAGGTGAAAGAGGAGGTGGTAGGAAGTGAAGATTACAAAGATAAGAAGGCTAGATAAAAATTGACCTTTTTCTTGAAGTGTTGAAGGAAACACCTATGGAACTTCTGAAGAAAAAGCTGTCTGAGTGAAACTTTCTTCCAACATTTGGAACATGGGAGAAATGTGGTAGATTTAACTGTGTGGAAGTAGCATGGTGTGTCCTAGCTCTAAAGATTCATATTGGTGGAACTAAAGAATAGAGCTCATCTCTACATTTGCCATGGAAATACTTATAGAGTAGTGATAGACCTGCAATATTGCGTATGTGAGGAAAAAGGTTGCAGAGTGGAAAATAAGTCTTAACCACAAAATAATTTTGAACTCAATTCTATCAAGATGGAAAGGAAAGACTGAGCAACTCCATCACAGATGTGGTAGGAATTCTTTCTTCACCTAAATACATACATACATGTACTGTATGCAATTTTATTATGTAAATCAATATTTTTACACTAATATTGGAATTAAACAGTTGATACTGTTAAGAGTTTCAGAATATATTTATATGATCAATTTGTTGTATCGATCTCAGTTAATAATATCTATATATTTATTAAAAATAGTGAAAATATTCAAATATTAATTTTTATCACGCAAACCAATGAAATACAATGAATACAATTTATCTACATTTGGACTTGTGTCTTCTTCTTGGTTATTATTACACAATATTTTGGATGCTATGCCCTTCAGCCTTCTTCCGGTGTCTGTTGATCCAGGTAACCTTCAGGGAATTTCAAAGTGAACTGAATGTAAATAATGATCCCTCCTCACACCAGAGATTCAAGCAAAGCATTTTATTCATAAAAAAAAAATCTGAAAGATATAGACCTTAGGAACATGTATTTGATGAGCACAATATCCCATTTGCCTAAATAAATTATTATTTTATTACTTTACAGATTACTATGGACTCTTTGACATTCTACAACCTTTATCCGTTCTTCAACACTTGATTTTAAGTTTTTTACTCTTTTGACTTTAAGATTAAATGTAGCAGTTTTTATTTCTTTCCAGAGACCTCTCTTTCTTGAATACTTTCCCATTTCATATGCATCTCTTTTAATGATGACAAACACAGTTATTATGAGACTGGTGATGAGCTCTCATCAATTTCCAGTGGATTTCACTAGTTGTAACCATAAATTCTATGCCGCCAGTTTCTTTTCTCACACTTCTCACTTGTGCAACTCTTCACAAATGTAGATACTGTGGAAAAATCGATTTGGTGCCTTTGAAAGTATTTGTGGCAAGGTGTGCAATAATCAACTTTACAGAATTCAATGGGGCATTGTCTTGAATGAATATACTCATCAATTTAATGCTTTTTGCTTGTGACTATACAGAAATTACAATAATCCCTTGCATTTATCTTTGCATCCACATCAATTTTGAAGGGATTTTTTTTTTTTTTTTTTTTTTTTTTTTTCGACTGAGGTAGGTAGATGTCATCAGGTGTTTAATACAGCCTTCATCTATGTATATACTTGTCATGTATTAAAACAAATCACTCTAATTTTTTTATATAAATTTAGATGTATATAACTTTTTACAAATTGCACAGTATATGTTAATGTCTATGCAAGCAAATGATACAAATTAAATGTATTTATTTTCTTTTTGCTGTAATTGTCTTTATTTTGACAACTAACAGCAACAGATATTTCAATGCTTTTTTCTTTCATTCTCTAAACAACATTTGCACTGAGAAGTATTCACCTCCTTGTCAGACAAGAGCTTATAAATAATTTTGGAGAAGGAAATCAGTAAAGAGACTGGATATCACTGGTGAGTAGGGGGAGGTGGTTGTTGTGTCGGATGTAGGAGGGTTTGCAGTCATCACAGAGTAAAATTATGAATCATCTCAAAATTGCTATTACTTTTAAAAATTGTAATAAAAGTGAAGTAATAAAATACCCCCCACCACAAAAAAAAGAAATAAAAGTATTAAATTCTTCACCTCCCACCCCTATTTTACTATTTTTCCACTACACCCCCACTATCTATACCAACAACAACAGCAACAAAATGACTAAAATGACAAATCGTATAAAACAGTTAATCTGAATGTTCAGGAATTTTAAAACTTGTCTTGTTTGCAGTTTTTTTTTTTTTTTTTTTTTTAAATAATTATATTTTTTTAATTTTTTTTTTTAAATAATTATATTTTTTTATTTTTTTTTAAATAATTATATTTTTTTAAATTTTTTTTTTAAATAATTATATTTTTTATTTTTATTTTTTAAATAATTATATTTTTTATTTTATTTTTTTTAATATTTAAACTTTTGGTTCATTCTTAAGATTTTTATTTTCTTTCTTTAATTTACAAATTTACTTTGTTGCATCACGTTAAAACAGTTGTGCCATATTCAAAATAAAATATTCCTAATTAGCTTCATAGCTGCAACTTCATTTTGAAAATCTTGTCTCAAGGACCACCTGTAAGTCAGTTCAAAAGAAAACACAACATGATTCAGAAAACATTTCTACTTACAGGAGTTTGCAGAATTTAACATAATAAATAATGGCTGGCTACATGTTTGAGCTAATCCCTGTTGCAGACGCCTGTTCAGGCACGTTTCTGTTTGATCAACACCCACAGAGCTCACCTGATGATCCTACTGCAACTATGCTGAACTATACTAGTTTCTAGGAAAGAATGCATAATTTGGCCCTGTTGAAAAAACCATGCCCTCAACCATGATGACTTGTGACTTTGTGCTAACACAACCATGATTATTTATCCTATTTTACTAACATGGCTCAAAACTGTGAAGTTTGAATCCACCCACAGAGCTCACCTGATGATCCTACTGCAACTATGCTGAACTATACTAGCTTCTAGGAGAGAATGCATAATTTGACATGATTAACAGTTTGAACAAGGCCAGTATACTCAAACCCTCAACTATGACTTGTGACTTGGTGCTAGCACAACCATCAATGGTTTCTGAATAGTTCCATTTATCCTATTTTACTAACATGGCTTGGTTTAAACTGTGGTATTGTTTTCCGGCACTTTTAAATTGTGCTACATTCCCAGGCTGAAAACATCATGAAGTTACCTCCCTTACAAATCAATCATGATGAAATTCACACCTGGTATATAACAGAATGATTTTGGCATCTATAATACATGTAGGTGTATGTACATATGGATATATTGCCAAAGAATGGTTAGTAAATACATCATGGTAATTATTTTTTTTTTATGTACTTCTTTCGATCAACCAGTGATATATTAACAGTTATCACTAAGAGTCTGTCAAGCTGGTCTTCTTCACAAACGGAAGAGCTTTGGTATCTTCCATGAATATTCACCCAATACATGTCTTAAGAGGAGCTCAAAGTAGAGGGTTACTTTTAAAATATTTATGATTAATGTGGTGCTTGAAAGAGGATGTGGTAGAAAGTAATGGTTATGAGGAGAAGGAAGATAGATAATGATTGACCCTTGACTGTACTTGATTGTACTCTGCAGGATTCTGATCCACAAAGTTCTTGAGAAAAAGCTGTGTGAGTGAAACTTTCACCTTACTTTTACAATGGGGGGGAATAAGAGTGATTTGACTCCGTGGAAGTAGCATTAGTCATAAAGGTTTTTTTTTCTTTTAATCAATCTTACACTATGCAAAGCAGTAAAGCCAGTAAGATACTAGAAGTTAAAGGGAAAAAACAGAAACATTACGAATGAATGGGAACAAAAAGAGTAATCAGGAGGAGAATAGATAGTGATTGACATTGCATTTAAATCTTTGAAGATTAAAGTTGGCTGGAAAGCATGGACCCAGAAGGGAGTTCCACAAGTGATAAATGTGAGAAAAGAAACTGTTAGCATAGAACTTACTATCACTTCTAACCAGCTCAACTTTAAATTGATGAGCTCTTAACACCAGTCTTGCATTGTGCTTAAATTCATAAAGGTACCATAGAAAAGACCTCATCTGAACACTTAACATTAAAAACATTTATGGTTACATCTAGCCAGCTCAACTGTAAATTGATAAGATCTTAACACCAATCTTTCACTGGGCTTAAAATCATAAAATTTAG